AACCAGTCGAGAAGGTAGCGTCGATCGAGAAAAGAAACGGGAGAAGGAATTGAAAAATGAGATCAATTTGTTGAGAAGGGATCGAGGATCGCGAGAGAAGGAGGATCCCCAGGAGGAGAAAAAAAGTGTGGATTCGTCGGATAAAAATAGTCGAAACGGATTTTTACATTCGTTGGAAAAGAAATTAGAAAGACTTCGATCCAATGACGAGCAACAAGAGGAGAAGACAACAATAGAGAAGTCAGTTGCAACGAACAAGGAAGAAATGGAAAAAGAGATATCTCGGGAACGATCCGCACCTCCTATCGATCATCCGTCTTCAAATCATTCTGACAACACTGCTACGAGAGCGAACAGTGCCGAGGATCTATCTCGAAAGAAATTGAATCAGACCTCCTCTAAAAGCAAAGTTTCTTCCGTCCTCGGTTTGTTTAAAACCGGGGATACAAATAAAGTCATAAATGGGACTCGATCACAAACTGCAATTTTAACGAAGTTGAAGAAGAGCCCGCCAAAATTGGTAAAATCTGATGTTATTTCCAATGAGGATGTTACTGTTCCTGTCACTACCAGCAAAATACCAACTAAACTCTCAAATACTGATTTCAAGATAATGAAAAAGAACGGAGATTCGAAAAAAATGGAAAAATTGGAAAAGACAGTTTGCTCCTCTATATCCGAATCTTCGAAGAGATCCTCGTTAAAGGAAGGATCGAAACAAGAGAAAACGTCGACCAGCAAAGAAAGAAGTGCATCCCGTGAAAAAGAATTTGGAGGAGAAAAATTGACGAATCAAGAGATGGAAACTGATACGCGTGAGAAATCGAATAATGATGAGAAAGAGTCTGTGGAAAAGAAATTGACAAGCAAAGTGAAAAAAACGAATCGATCTTCGTTGGAGAATGGTTCGTCTATGGAACAGAGCAAATCCGAGGACACGGATAAAAAGACAAAGAAATTAATTAAAAAGACTTCTGAAACTTCAGAAAATAATAATTCTAATGGTGTAAAGAAAAAAAGAATTGTTCGAGTGGTAAAAAAAGTCGCAAAGAAATCAAATAATGATACTAGTACCGATACCGATAAAAATTTGGACGAAAAGGAAAAATGTGGAAAATCGCGAATAAAGAAAAAGATTGAATCAAAAATCGGCACTAATATCACAAAGAATGTCACCGACAAAGCGAAAGAAAATAGTGGAATAGAATCGAAAGACAAAACGGGAAAAATTTCAGCTATTGGAGATCGAACTAATTCTGGAGACGAAACAATGGCGACAGAAACAAAAAGTGATCAATCAAAAGGACAGGAATCTCAGCAACGAGCAAACAGAAGCAATTTAAAGCTTGATCTGTCCAAAATACCCCAACACTCATTCAGGAATGTCACACCGAAAAAGGATTCACCGAAATCAGATGCGCCAAAAAATTCTATCGATTCTCCCAAATCAAACGAAGATCTTTCTGGCAAACTGATGGAATGTCTTTCAAAAGTGACACATCACACCAATATTGCTGGTAATAAGATAATCATAGATAAACCATTACGCGCGAAAGACGTGGCCGAATTGAAGAAAGAGGTAACTGAATGTGCGAAAATCATCGAGAGCCATGCGGAATCGATGGCAGTCGGTCATATGGAATCAGAAAATCCTCCAGAGGGAGCATCGATCGAAGAAGAAATAAAAGAGAAAGAATCAAAATCGACAGATTATCCGAATGAACTGTTCTCTCCAATGGATGAACCTGAGAGTTTCGATTCGTGGTCGATCAGTTCAGCAGAAATGAGTCATGCACGGCCTGACTTGCATTCTCCAACCTCGCCTTCACATTCGCTGTTTACTCGAAACGACAAGTCGGATAACTCAGAGTCGATAATCGACCGAATACGCAGGCGCAGTTTCTATTCACGATTCAACGATAGGCGAAGACCATCATTGACCGCTCCTCCTCCAGGCATCAATCTACCAAGCAGTGCCACGCTCCCGAGAAAATTCAGTTTTTCAGGACATCGGGAACAACGAGATCGTAGCAGGTACGGAATAGGATACACAGGATTGGCCACGGTTTCGAAACCCACTCTCAGGCACACGACAGAGAAAAGTTACGGCTTATACGCCGAAGATGGCGTTGCGATCGGTCGCAATCGCTCACTTGATCGAGGTATTCGTTATTCAGATGCTGGCTATGTTACCGACCTTAAATCGCCGACCGAACACGTGTCCGTTCTCTCCTCTTCCTATGATCCCGTTAGAAGGTATCTTAGATCACCGACTTTCGACCTCTCCACTTCTAGGTCGAGATATCATAGTGCTGATTTCTCTGCGGACGCAGATCTAATCTACAAACCTTCTCTTTCCGGTTTATCGAATGATTCTGGAATTGACAATCATGTTTACGTCGGCCTTGGTTATTCCTCTCTTCCGAGGAAATATGGAATCTCAGAACCAAAAACTATCGAATATTACGAGGAACTACTATCTCCAAGTACGACGGATTATTTGCCGGCCAGAAGATCACCAATATTCAACGAGTATTCTAATAAATGCGAGAACGGATATTACAATGGAAACTTGGATACATTTGGTCGTCAACTTGAACAATCGAATGTTACGAAAAGGAAACCTGGTTCGGAGAATGCAAAAACATTAGAGGTTTCAGAAAGTGGTGCTTCGAGTTTTCCCGTCTCCTCTGATGAACAATCAACGGAACAGAAAAGGTAATTCCTTTCTTCTCTTCTTCCTCCATTCTTTTAAATGATTATGATTATGCATAATATCGTTAAGACAATATAAAAATAAGTAAGATAGATATATTACAATATATTAATTGTAATAAAACCATTCAAAATATAGAATGTGCAATAGTCTTGTAATATGTGGAAATAGTTTCAGAGATCGAGTCTTTTATTATTGAAAATAATAAAAGAGTAATTAATAAAATGTATTTTATTAATTTTTTTGTCTTATATTTTTTATCTTAAAAAATTAATTTTGTTATGTTAAAATTTTAATTTTATACATTTCATAAATTATACATAGATTATTACAGATATCATACATTTTTCTTTTAAATTATATTATTAAAGAATATTTAAATTTTCTGTATTATTTCATCAATTGAAATTATAATCGAAATTTAATCTTAAATTTTTTTATAGTTGATTCTTAAGTTCCATTGCATTCTTCTTTGATAGATTTCAATCATCATGATATCACTATAAATTATTTTTACACACGCAAATATACTAAAAATTATATTTATATTTTTATATTTATAATCTGTGTATATACATCCATTGTTAAAATACCATTATTAATATCCAATTATATATATATATATATATATATATATATATATATATATATAATTATTTATATATTATATATATATA